ATTCTAAGTACTTACTTGCTATTTTGTGTTTTCCCTTATTGTTTTTCCTAACTTGCATCTTGTAGAGTGAGGTTCTTATCCACGAAAGCTTATGCTCTCAATACTTCTGTTAGTCTTAAAGGTGCCACAGGACCCTCTGTTGCTTTTTACTTTACTGTTTTTCACCTCCCCTTGTGTTTAGATCATTCTCTCCCAGAAATACTGAAAGTCTTTAGTTCATGTCCTTAATAAAGGCCCTGGTAGTATTGTCCCTAATTTTACTCAAGGAAAATTCCAAGCAACTTCAAGTGGATTTTCTCTTGACTCCAGAATTTGCTCTACTATGGTAACTGTGATTCATATGATCCTTAACACTAATGGGAGACTCTCTCTGATCACAAGGAGAGAATAATTTGCAGATTTTCTTAGTGATAGTTATCCACAGCCTAAACCATAGCCCCCCTGGTGCATAATTTGATAATTAAGACATAAGAGAAGTGAAATCATGTGATTTGTCTTATGAACACCCTCCCCTCTCCCAATATACATGCAGAGTAGATAGCAGCATATGTATTGGTTGAACATTTAATTACTACTGTATGCCTGAACGCACTAATAATATATGTTTTATCCCCCCACCAGTTCTTCTGTGCTTGCCAGAATACATGCATGCAGTTGTTAAGAGAGCCTATCTCCTCTCACAAGGCTACATTGCAGAGAATGTCAGCTTGAATGACCCTTATTGTAAACCAAAGATTACAACAAACGATATTATATTCAACATCCCATATAATGGCTGTGGCACAAGACGAGAGGTATGAAGTTGAATATTTAGCACCTGTGTAAGTAGGTCTGTGCAAACTGCAGAATTTATTTTGAAATGGGTCATGAACAGAAACCTGCTGTGGTTAACAGGAGTTACAAGTGAACCAACGACTGCAGGTTCAGATTCACTGAACACTACCATCTATTCTTCCTCTGCCTGAAGAAACTCCTCACTATTCCCCATAAGGTCAAGCTACAATATTATGGGACAGGGAGGATACGCGAACAACCTCAACCCATGTTCACAGACTTTTTTCGAGCATGAGCTGATGTTTGTGAATAATCAAAATACTTGCTATTTGCACAGGCCCCTGTTCAGCAACGTACTTACACATATCTAATTTAAAGCATTCATTTCAATAGGACTACTCGTGTGCTTTAAGTTAAACACATTTAAGTACCTTACTGAATCAGGACCTTTGTGCATTTCATGTTCATGTTCAACTTTTGTATTAATGTTAACTAACTTGGCTGTATTTGGGTTCAGTGAAAATATTTTTTCACATCTCAGTGTAATCACTGTATCATACAGCCAACAATTTTGTTTAAAATGTGTTGTGACTAGAAATGACCAAAGTCTCATTTCTTTTCAAAATACTTCTAATGGAAGCAATGCTTTTAAAATGCGTGTTATTCTATGGGTTCATCAACAGTTTAGTGACATAATGGTAAGTGTGGCAAAAATGTGACTACATTAGATAATTCTGTACTTACTGTGTCAAACAGGGAAACAGCAATACTATCATGTATTCCAACTTGATCAAAGCAACCTCTTCTGGTTACATAATCAAAAGGGAAAAAGATCTTCACTTGCATGTCAACTGCAAAATGCTCCAAAACACATGGAAAGAAATCATGTATGTTGCTCAGGATGTGGCTGAAGATGTTATTGAGGTCAATGAAACGCAGTACAGCAGATATGACGTGAACATTTCATTCTACCAATCACCATCCTTCTCACAGCCAGTGTATGACTCTCCATACTACGTGAGATTGAACCAGAATTTATTCCTTCAAGCTTCAATTCACAGCTCTGACCCAAATCTGGCGTTGTTTTTGGACACATGTGTGGCATCACCTGATCCCAGTAGTGTTACATCCACGACCTATGATATTATCAGGAATGGGTAAGGACTTTCTGAGCAATGATAAACAATGGATCTGTATATGCTCTTCTGTATCTGTTTTGTTTATGGACTAATTTGAATATTGACAATTTGAATTGATTTCAGTTCCCTATGCCACTAAACTTTTTTTAAAAACTTTTTTGGCCAATCCTGCTATGAAATGAGAAATAACAATAGCAATGATGTTTAGACCATGCAGTCATGCAAGAGTCCACTCAAGCATGTTACAAAGTAACAGATTTTATCCCAAACTCCACTGAGGTCAATGAATTTTCACCTGCCTACATCAAGTTTGAATTCAGCCCCAAATAGTTTGTCTATAGAATTCAACTGTGTATTTTCAAAATATTCTGATTCTTTTTTTTAATTATTCAT